TAAAATGTATATGTACACATTATTGTTCTTTTATGGATGGGGAGAGGATTATAGCCTGTTAGACTTGTCCCAGGTCATGGGATGGAATGGGATGAAACCAGGTTTGAATCAAACAGTCTGACTCCAGACACAGAGCACCTGGCCAGTATTCTCCTCTTGCCAATGCAACCAACCATTTCACTTCTCTGGTCATTCCACCCATACATTCTCCACTCACTGTGCTCTTCTCTTTGGAGGTTACTAGTAAACCAGAGTAAAGAGCCATTGGTGCTCAACTATAAGAAGGACAGCTGAAGATTGGCTGGCAGAGATCATAGAAAGAGCCGGCTCATGACAGTTTAAAGTAGATTTCTCTTGCATGCCTCTGCTCCTGCATCTTGCCTCAGCTGTCTACTTCCTTCTCCATTCTTATAAGTTCCTCCATTTCAAACGGAGACACAACATCAATGTCTCAGGTTCCATTCACACTCAGGAAACTAGAAAATATTAAAACATGTACAATATATGTGCTATTGCTTAAGATCTATGGATCTCTGTTTTAAAATTTCTGAATTTAAAAAAAAAATTTCTGAATTTTAAGAGTAAAGAAGTTAACTGCATGTGCCTCAGATCCACAATATAATTTTAAGTCCTATCTTCTCTACTTATTATCTAGTGACCTGGAGCAAGTTCTTAGTATATCTGAGCCTCAGAATTATCATCTGAATTGATCCCTGATTGATACCACTCCACTGAGTAAGGACTAAATAGATATGAATACTACCAATGTGGTTAAATATGTGATGGATGCATACGGTAAAGGCAAAAATTTAGGTATTATTATTGATGATATTGATTAATATTGTTAATACCAATCTTTATACCTTTCAACCAAAGTGTCCTGTGATCTGATCATTTGGTTTTCAATGGATATCTGACAAAAATTTAATTTTTATCCGTGTACAAATTAAATACTGGGTGCTTGGAAGGAAATGACTGAATCACATTCATTTCTGATTCCTCAGAGCATATATCATCTTTGGCACAGAGTAGGCAACAATAACAATAAAACTCCCAAACACATGAAATGTCGAATAGACCCTTCTTTGAGTCACAAGAACAAAGAATAATTAATATGGCTTGCACACACTGGTGCTTTCCTGTCCGTGCCTTCATCCATTTTAGGGATGTCTCATAGAACAAGAAATAAGATAAAATAGCACTTGTTTGTATCTATGTCATTCAATAGGATCTTTTTTTCAAGTAGGCTCCACACCCAATGTGTTGCCAACATAAGGCTTGAACTCACAACTCTAAGACCAAGACCTGAGCCTGGGATCAAGAATTTGACACAAGCAACTAAGCCACCAGACACTCCTTTCTCCTCTATTATTTTCTATTTAATAGCATCTACAACATTCAGTTATTGAAAACTATCACAGTGATTTTTGTAAGTTTGAAAAATAAGAAGGAGAAGATAAATTTTACTGTGTGATCTTAGATATATTTTAGGATTTCTAGAGCCCTGAGACGAGAGAGCCTTCAGATTCTCTCCCTACAATCCAATGAAAGGTTATTAAAGCTTTCTTAGGATTGCATTTCATCCATAAACCCACAATTACAATAATGATTCAAATTCTGGTTACAAAACAATGACTAGATATTTATTAAGTTCCACTTCCTTTAGATGCCACACATCTCTGGAGATGGCTGTTAACCTTTCAATTTCCAGAGAAGGGATACCAACACAGACAAGTTGAGGGATTTACATGTATTCCGTGAATTAGGGCGTTGGACTACTGGTTTTCAGGAACACTTATGGCAGTAATATGGTGAATTATAGGATCTCCTATGAGTAGTAATGCACTTTACAGCCCAGTTTGAAAATCTGAGATATGGAAATATCCCCTATGTAAGATATGAATTTTTATGTGAAGGTATCACAGAATTATGATTATTAGATACCTGAGAAATATTTCTGATTCTATACTTTAATAATAGCATGTAGCTGATAGCAACTAATTTTTCTACTGGGAAAACAGATGTAGGAAATAAATGGTGAAATTGAACTTGCACTGATTTTTACAACACAAACAACCTTGTGATGAAAGGTTGATATTAACAACCATCCTCCAAGCAGATGTCATATAGAAATTCTCATTTGCATGATATGCAGAAAGGTAAAAGGATTTTCATAGGGTTGTTGAAATAAGGAATTGATAAACAAAATGAAGTTAATTCCTCAGTTAATACTATATATATCACAAAAAATGTTATATCTAGATTTAAACGCAGTGTTGTAGTAAACAAGAACACTTTAGATGCATTATGTGTAGTAATATACTATTTAGGTAAATCTTTAAGAAAACCTTTTGTAAGGTTTTGTAGATTATAAATAAATAATAATGTTATGGAAACACTGAAAGAAAATATACTCACCTAAATTAATAATTGTGGTTGCTTTGGGGAACAAGTGTGCAGGGCAATAAGATCATGCAGGGATTTAAAGAAAGCTAAAATTTTATCAGTGATATTTCAGATCTCTATAAAATATGAGTTTGGAAGAAAACATTAGTAAATGGCTATATTTTTAATTTAGCTATTGGGTGGGACGCCTGGGTGGCTCAGTGGTTGAACACCTGCCTTCAGCACAGGGCATGATCCTGGAGTCCTGGGATCGAGTCCCACATCAGGCTCCCTGCATGGATCCTGCTTCTCTCTCTGCCTATATCTCTGCCTCTCTCTCTCTGTGTGTGTCTCTCATGAATAAATAAGTTAAATCTTTAAAAAATATACAGCTATTAGGTATTCATTATAGCAATAATAGGCAATATTCTTTGTACATATTCTAAGTGCCTGGCAATATTTTAAGGCATTGTTCTTGACCCTGGCTGTACATTAGTACCACTAAAAATCATGCATGTAGAGATTATTATTTAATTGGCTCTAGGCAGTGGACAGGACATTAGTACATTTTGCAGGATTAATGGGTAAGTATAATAATCAACGAGGGTTGAGAACTATGGGGCTGACCACTTTATGTTTCTTTATGTTTAATTTCTTCAAACAACCCAATAAGGTAAGTTCAATCATTAGCTCCATTTTACCAATGTGGAAACTCCCCATGTACTTGTTATGTTAGTCTTTGTACTTCTCCCTTTTGCATTTTTCTCTAAATTAAATCATAGTGTGACCTATCAGGAGAAATGAATAGCAGAGTTGTCTTCAGGGAATTGATTTAAAAATAATTGTATTTAGGAGTGCCTCGCTGGTTCAGTCAGTGGAGCGTGGGACTCTTGATCTTGGGGTTGTGGATTCAGTTGGGTGTGGAGATTGCTTAAAAATAAAATCTTAAAAAAATTGTATATAAGGAGAATTGATTTTATTATTTATGTAATGGATGGACCTAGAGGGTATTATGCTAAGCAAAAGAAGTCAAAGAAAGACAAACACCATATGATTTCACTCATATGTGGAACTTAAGAAACTAAAGAAATGAACAAACAAAAAAAGACAAACAAACAAACAAACAAAAACCCCAGACTATTAAGGGGAATTAATTTTAAAAGGAATTAATTAAGGAGAATTTTTGTTTCAGTAAAGATTAAAGTTAAGGAAGCATAAGAAGGCTAGATTTCAGACCTGGTTTGGGGGGCTTTATATGATCCTAAATTCCTTGATTATAAATAAGAGAGTTAGATTTCTTTTCTTTTTTTTTTTAGGATTTTATTTATTTATTCATGAGAGACACAGAGAAAGAGAGGCAGAGACATAGGAGGAGGGAGAAGCGGGTTCCATGCAGGGAGCCTGATGTGGGACTCTATCCCAGGACTCCAGGATCATGCCCGGAGCTGAAGGCAAATGCAGAACTGCTGAGCCACCCAGGCGTCCCAAGAGAGTTGGATTTCATGTGGACCCAGAACTTCCAAATATTTAGGATTAGAAATACATGTAAGCACTTTCAGCAATACCAAACCACTTCAAAATAGAGACCAAAACAAAACAAAACAAAACCCCAAAGAGCAGTGTCAAACACCAGTGTCAATTTCCCGGAGACTGTGTAGAGTTGGTATTTAATCCTGTATAAGATGAGAGATAGGAAAAAAGTTTTTTAAGTTAATTATTGTTTAATGACCCAGAGCTGCATTGTGCACAAATGCCATCTATGGTGTCACCGATGCGGCATGATTTTGTGCATTTAACCAAAACGTATTTACAAAATTTGAAGTCTATCAGGCCACCGTTAACAATTATATTTGAAAAAACTTTTTCTTTTTTAAGATTTTATTAATTCATGAGACACACAGGGAGGTAGACACAGGCAGAGGGAGAAGCAGACTCCCTGCAGGGAGTCCGATGTGGGACCCGATCCCGGGTCTCCAGGATCAAGTCTCGGGTTGAAGGCAGCGCTAAACCGCTGAGCCACCGGGGCTGCCCCTATATTTGAAAAAACTTTAAAAAGACAACCCACATATTTGAATGAAATGAGCATGTATTTCTACAGAGGAGAGATGTCAGAAAACCGGAGAATGATGAAAACTCATAAAGATAATTAACCATTAAAAAAAGCTTTCTGATTATAAACATTCGGTTTTAATTTAGAATGTCAATGATGTACTTCTAGCAATTACACAGTTTATCAATATTCTAAAGGGAATTTCTTGCATTTATTTGAATAAAATCAGGCTGCTTCTAAGTGTCCTTCAATTAGACTGATTTTTTTTTTAACCTAAAGGGAAAAGAATATTTCTTATTTGGCATGTTTCTTAAAAGAGTATTTTATGGTGATCATGGATTTATCATTTAGCTCTAAATGTTCTTGCTCCTCTAACATTCTTCAGTTCTGTGTCTTTAAAGTATGTATATAGAGAGGTGAATAACACAGAAACCAATGAGGAAACAGTTCAAGAAAATTGGATTTGAGACACAGAACTATTGCTAAAGGTACTGGAACGTATGGCTCCAAGTGTGAATATTTTACTTGTTAATTGCTTGAATACACAATATGGACACAGAGCTGGATGCTCATTTACTTGTTTCACTTTTCCAACGCTCTTTTCTTTTTTAAAAGGTGTCCAAGCTACATTGAACCACAAAATCTAACAAGTGTATCAGAGTTCTTCCTCATGGGCCTCTCAGATGATCCAGAACTGCAGCCCCTCCTCTTTGGGCTGTTCCTTTCCATGTACCTGGTCACTGTGCTTGGGAACCTGCTCATCATCCTGGAGGTCAGCTCTGACTCCCACCTCCACACCCCCATGTACTTCTTCCTCTCCAACCTGTCCTTGGCTGACATCAGTTTCACCTCTACCACAATTCCCAAGATGATCATGGACATCCAAACTCAGAGCAGAGTCATCTCCTATGTGGGTTGCCTGACTCAAATGTCTTTTTTTATGCTTTTTGGATGTTTGGATAGTCTCCTCCTGGCTGTGATGGCGTATGACCGGTTTGTGGCCATCTGTCACCCCCTGCACTACTTGATCATCATGAACCCCCGCCTCTGTGGCTTGTTGGTTTTGGCGTCATTTTTAATCAGCCTGTTGGTCTCCCAGATGCACAATTCAATTGTGTTACAACTTACTTACTTCAAGGATGTGGAAATTTCTCATTTCTTCTGTGATCCTTCTCAACTCCTCAACCTTGCCTGTTCTGACACTTTTATCAATAACATAGTTATGTATTTTGTTGGTGCCATCTCTGGCTTTCTTCCTATTTCAGGGATCTTTTTCTCTTACTATAAAATTGTTTCGTCCATTCTGAGAGTCCCATCCACAGGTGGGAGATACAAAGCCTTCTCTACCTGTGGCTCCCACCTGTCAGTTGTTTGCTTATTTTATGGAACAGGCCTTGGGGTGTACCTTAGTTCAGCTGTCTCACTTTCTCCCAGGAAGGATGCAGTGGCCTCAGTGGTGTATACTGTGGTCACCCCCATGCTGAACCCTTTCATCTACAGCCTGAGGAACAGGGACATCAAAAGGGCCATGTGGAGGCTCTTCAGTAAAACAATCTAATTGCAGTACCTCTGCCATCCATTTGAGGTGTAGGTTGGAATGCAGCAAAACTAAACACCTAGGAGTGCCTGGGTGGCTCAATCCATTAAGTGTCTGCCTTTGGCTCAAGTCATGATCTCGATCCCAAGGCTGAGCCCTGAGTTGGGCTCTCTGCTCAGTGGGGAGGCTGTTTCTTCCTCTCCATCTCCCTCTGTCCCTTCCCCCTCATGCTCTTTCTCTCCCCTACCCCTCAAATAAACAAAACATTTTAAAAACAAACAAAAAACTAAACATGTAGACCTGCAAATTCTAAGGCTCTCACCACATCATTTTTGTAGTTGTCGTGGCTTTCATCCTTTTCCTTGCTTAACATTTGGAAATTGCTTTTTTCATGTCTTAAATGGGACTGAGGGAGTATTCTGGGGTCCTTTGTATATGACAGTCACTGCATGACTGAACCTTACTTTAAAAAATATTTTATTTATCTATTCATGAAAGACACAGAGAGAGAGGCTGAGACATAGGCAGAGGGAGAAGCAGGCTCCCTGTGGGGAGCCTGATGTGGGACTCCACCCTAGGACCCCGGGATCATGACCTGAGCCAAAGGCATATGCTCAACCACAGAGCCACCCAGGTGCCCCTGACTGAATCTTATTATATCTATGGAGACTCTGTGCTTTATCATTGGTGACCCAAGCATCCCAGAAAGATGAGAAGTTCTCTTTTTATATATTTTAAATTCATATTTTTCCATTCTTGTGTATTTTCCATACATATTTCTTATCTATCCAATTGGTTTATGCAGGTTATGTGGGAGGATGCATGTCACTAGTTCTCAAACTTGGTATGCATGTATGTATGTATTTTCAAGTATAATTAACATACAGTGTTATATTAGTTTTAGGTGTACAATACTATGATTCAACAATTCTATACATTTCTTAGTGCTCATCAAGATAACTGTACTCTTCTTTAAAATTTTTTATTTATTTATTTATTTATTTGAAAGAGAGAGAGCACAAGCGAGGAGTGGGGGTGGTAGGGGCAGAGGGAAAGGGAGAAGTAGACTTCCTGCTCAGGGGAAACCCAACTCAAGGCTTGATCCTAGGACCCCAAGATCATTACCTGAGCCAAAGGCAGACACTTCATCAACTGAGCCAGCCTGGCACTCTAAGATAAGTAATCCTTAATCTTAATCCTCTTTATCTTTTTCACCTATCCCTCTACCCACCTCTCCTCTGGGAGTCACTAGTTTGTTTTCTGTGTTTAAAAGTCTGTTTTTTTTGTTTGTCTCTCTTTTCTTTGTTCATTTGTTTTGTTTCTTAAATTCCACATATGAGTGAAAGTATATACTATTTGTTTTTCTCTGACTGACTTATTTAATTTATTGTTATACCCCATAGGTCCAACTCTTTTGTTGCAAATGGCAAGATTTCGTTGTTTTTTTATGGTTGATTAATAATACATTTCATATATACACATAGCACATTTTCTTTTCTTCTTTATCCATTTATCTGTCGATGGACACATGGGTTGCTTCCATATCTTGGCTATTGTAAATAATACTGCAATAAATACAGGAGTGCAAATATCTTTTTGAATTAGTGTTTTCATTTTCTTTGGGTAAACACCTAATAGTGGAGTTACTGGATTATATGATAATACTATTTTTAATTTTTTGAGGAACCTCTATACTGTTTTCCACAGTGGTTGCGTCAAATTGCATTCCCACCAATGGTGCATGAGGGTTTCATTTTCTTTTCTTTCTTTCTTTTCTTAAAAAATATTTTATTTATTTATTCATGAGAGACAGAGAGAGAGAGAGAGAGAGAGAGAGAGAGGCAGAGAGGCAGAGACACAGGCAGAGGGAGAAGCAGGCTCCATGCAGGGAGCCTGACCCAGGACTCGCTCCAGGTCTCCAGGATCACACCCTGGGCCGAAGGCGGGGCTAAACGGCTGAGCCACCCGGGCTGCCCAGATTTCATTTTCTCTACATCCTCAACAATACTTGTTATTTCTTATGTTTTTGATTTTAGCCATCTGACAGGCATAAGGTAATTTGTATTTCTCTGATGATTAGTGATGTTGTGCATCTTTTCATGTATCTGTTGGCTATCTGTATGTCTTATTTGGAAAAATGCCTATTTTTAGTTGAAATTTTTGGGGGGTTTTGGTGTTAAGTTGTATAAGTTCTTTTTTTAAAAGATTTTATTTATTTATTCATGAGACACACACACACACACACACACACACACAGAGGCAGAGACACAGGCAGAGGGAGAAGCAGGCTCCACGCAGGGAGCCTGATGCGGGACTTGATCCTGGGTCTTCAGGATCATGCCCTGGGCTGAAGGCAGGTGCCAAACTACTGAGCCATCCAGGGATCCCCAGTTGTATAAGTTCTTTAGATATTTTGGGTACTTACCCCTTATTGGATATGGGATAAATGTTCTCTACACTCATCTTTGACAATTCTAATATCTCATCTCCTCACTCACTATGTTGATTTCAGTTTAATATTTTTTGCTATCGTCCAAATATTTTAGAAGGCTGCAATACTCATCTCCTCCCTCTCCAGTACACTCCTACTCATTTGCCCTTTCATCATGGATACTCATCATGGGAGAAGGAATTGGAAACTGGAAAAGAATAAAGCATGTATCACATTTTATTGCACAAAAATAAGTATCTTTGGTTTTCCTATTCTGTGTCCTGTAAATTCATCTTTACCATGACCCTAGTATCGTATCGCCCCTATTAATGTCTTTATACACTGTACTATGAAATAACTTCAGTCTAATACCACATTTTTGCTATGGATTAAGTATTCTAAGTGCCTTAACACCCCATCCCTCCCTCTTATATCTATCTCTACATATATACCATGTGTTCTCCCTAGAAACACCCTCTGTCATACATCTACACACACACACACAAGTAAATAGCATCCTTCCCTCCATATCCAATTTGATTAGATATTCATTGAAGTTTTCTTCATATCACTTAATGACAAAACAATCTCCATGTTCCTCAGCAAAGAAATCTCTGAGTCAGGAAAGATGCATAGATAGAATTTAGAAGGTTACAATATACTACTATCCACACACATCTCAGTTTATCCACTAGAAAAAGCAGATAAACCAAAACCATAGTTTATGTTTTCAAGGGCTGAGAACCCACAGAAATCTAAAGAAAATATACTTTGGAGCCAGTTGACTCCTTTCTAACTAGCATAAATCAGAACCACTGGGGATTTTTGTTAAATTTGGCCATGGAATGGCTGCAAACTGGCTTACTGGTGGAGGGGCTCTCCTGGGAGAGCAGAAATCAGGGAGTCTACTTGAGAAGTAGTAAATGGGGTCTGCAGAAATACCCAATGGAGAGGAAGTTCTACCCATTTGCTAATTTGTCTCCTGGGAATTTTTGTTGTGTGACAAATTTGGGACTATACTGGAAGGCAGACAGATATGACATGAGTCTTGAAGTGCTTGGAGCACAAAGTTCTTGTAGAGGATGAGACTTATGTGGTGGACTGTGCCTGAGATCATGCTCCCTATGATCCCCAACTGCTGATTTTCTTGCTCTTGCATATGTCCCTCCCATTGAGTGTGAAATAGACATAGTGACTTGCTTCCAACAATGAGAATGTGAAAGAAATGTTGAGAAGTCACTTCCACGAATAGAGTGGGAAAAAAAAAATCTGGCTTTCTTCCTGCTACCTCTCCCTTGCTCTCTTGGTTGCTCCTGTTGACAGAACCCAATTTCCATGTTACAAGCTGTCCCATTAAGAGGCCCATGTATAAAAAAAAGAAAAGAAAAAGAAAAAAAGAAAAAAAAAAGAGGCCCATGTATCTGGAAAATCTCGGGCCAATAGTTTACAAATGCATGAATCCTACCAACAGCCCTATGGGTGAGCTTTTAAGTGGACTTCTGCCAGTCAAGCCTTGAGATGATTACAGTTCTGGCAAACATCTTCATTGTAATATTATGAGAGGCTCTCTGAAGCATTTAAGTAAAGTATCAGTTACCAAAAAATATGTAAAAATCAATAGTTTTCTAATATACCAATGTAATTCAATTAGAGAAAAAACAGAACTAAAGCCATTCAAATTAGCCAAAAATAAACAAAACAGGTGAACATGGGAAAGAGAAGAAAAATAAAATAAGATAAGACAAAGAAGGAGGCAAGCCATAAGAGACTCTTAACTATAGAGAACAAACTGAGGACTACTGGAGGGGAGGTGGGTTGAGGGATGGGTAATTGGGTGATAAGCATTAAGCAGGCAAGTGATATAATGAGTACTGGGTGTTATATGCAAGTGATGAATCGCTAAATTCTAATCCTGAAACTAATACTATACTATAAGTTAACTAACTTGAAATTAAATAAAATATTGAAAAAAATAAAAATACATAAAAATAACCCTGTGAATCTCCAACATATAAAGTGCCAATCCAAGCAAGACCTATGGAAATGAAAATAGGAAGTTATCCTTAGAGCACATATTAACTGAGAAAATGGAAATAGGGGATCCCTGGGTGGCGCAGCGGTTTGGCGCCTGCCTTTGGCCCAGGGCGCGATCCTGGAGACCCAGGATCGAATCCCACATCGGGCTCCCGGTGCATGGAGCCTGCTTCTCCCTCTGCCTATGTCTCTGCGCCTCTCTCTTTCTCTCTGTGACTATCATAAATAAATAAAAATTTAAAAAAAAGAAAATGAAAATAGTGTCACATTCTTTGTATAGAAGACCTAATTCTGCCTCAATTTTATGATTCATACAATGGATTTACAGATATCAAAATCACACATTGAATGATTCAATTGAAAAAAAAAGTCTGAATTTCATGTTAGGATCCTACAACTTGGAAAAAGTAAGGAGTACAGCTGAGCTTCCTGAGGAGCGGAAGGAGCCAGATCCTTCTAAAAACATTTACCTGTTTCCCTTTCCTCTTCTATTGACATTAGCAAGTCCTGGAACATTTAGGTAGTTCAGTTGGTTGGGTGTTTGACTCCTGGTTTCGTCTTGGGTTGTGATCTCAGGGTCATGGATGGAGCACCATGTCAGGATTCACTTTCAGTGTGGAGTCTGCTTGAGATTCTCTCTCTCCCTTCATTAGCCCCTCCCACTGCACTCTCTAAATAAATAAATAAATAAATAAATAGATAGATAAAATCTTTTTTTTAATTTTTTTTTATTTATGATAGGCACACAGTGAGAGAGAGAGAGGCAGAGACACAGGCAGAGGGAGAAGCAGGCTCCATGCACCAGGAGCCCGACGTGGGATTCGATCCCGGGTCTCCAGGATCGCGCCCTGGGCCAAAGGCAGGCGCTAAACCGCTGCGCCACCCAGGGATCCCTAAAATCTTTTTTTAAAAATGAAAAGAACATTATCAAGTCCTCAGAGATTGGGACAACATGAATCAATTGGCTAATTATGAGCTTTGTGCTTTGAGCCTCCCAAGTTATACAATTGGAAATAATTGATGGGTGCCTCCAGCTTTTTAGTTTGACAGTTCTATTATACTGGCTCCATACTTGTGTCTCCTCCCTTTGTGGATATCTGCATCAGAAGGTCTCAGCCAAGTCTGTCTTCCTGCCAGTCTTGAGGAGGGACCCTGAGCCTTCATCATATACCAGACAAGTGATCAGTACTCCTCAGTCATGCTCCAGCAGAGATGCATCCCAGCTCAGTAAGTGCTGAAGGAAACAGTGATTGGAGGAGGGAGTATCAGGAGCATTTTTTCCTCCTCCACAATAGAAACACTTGGTTTAAACAGATGGGAGGGCATCAGTATACAAACTTTCAGATGAGACCCCTGTGACATTTATCTTCTTGGTTCTGGTGGGGATGTGAGAACTCTCATTAAGAGTTCTGCTTCCAAAAAAAAAAAAAAAGGAGTTCTGCTTCCGGGGTGCCTGGATAGCTCAGTTGGTTAAGCATCTGTCTTTGGCTCTTGTCATGATCCTGGGATCCAGTCCCACATTGGACTTCCTGCTCAATGGGGAGTCTGCTTCTCCCCTTCCCTCTGCTCATGCTCTCTCTCTCCCTCCCTCTCTCAAACAAACAAATAAATAGATAAATAGATAGATAAATAAATAAATAAATAAATAAATAAATAAATAAAATCTTAAAAAAAAAAAAAGAGTTCTGCTTCCACTCTCACTGACTCTGGTCTGGTTGGCCTCTCCCCCACCATAGCCAATGGATCTCTTCAACGTCTTGCCTAGGCTACTCCAAAATGATCATGAAGGAGATTATGATGATTGTAAGGAGAAGGATGCCATTGACCACTAACCACAACATAATGTACTTTTATTGAGAGCTTCCTAAATGCCAGGTTCTGAGGTATGTGTTTTACATATCTTATTTGATTTCATCTGGTTAATCTGTTCCAAATCATAAGTGCACACATTATTATTATTTGTGCATACATAATAAGTGCATACATTATTATTTCATCTTGTGATGAAAGGAATACAGCATTTTATGTAACTTACAGCAGGTTGTGAATTAGAAAGGGTTGATGGCATGTTTGAATCTGGGCATCAGACCAGACTTTTCCTCTGCTAACCCAAAATGGTTATTTCACTTCCTTTAGGGGTTTCTGGCACACCACCATTGGAGAGCAGTAGATAGCACTTCCTGCTTCAACTACAGGAAGAATGGCTGAGATCGCATGTAATGATCACAGAGAGTTGGCACATGATTATTCAGGGGAGATCTCTCTTTCTCTCTCTCTCCTGCTCCTATTCCTGGATTTCACTTCAACTGTTCACTTTCTCCTCCATTCTTTTTTTTTATGATTTTATTTATTTATTTGAGATAGACAAGGAGCAAGAGAGAGAGCAGAAGCAGGGGAGCAGAAGGAGAGGGAGAAGCAGGCTCCTCGCTGAGCAGGGAGCCTGACTTGGGGCTCAATCCCAGGATCTGGGATCATCCTGAACCAAATGCAGATGCTTAACTGACTGAGCCACCCAGGTGCCTCCCTCCTCCATTTTTACAGTCAGCCTACTCAATCATAAAAGGTGACATAAGTCAGAATCTTGGGGTTCATTTCAACTCAGGAAATGGAAAATGGTTTAAAAATGTATCTCAGATGTGCCTATAGTTAAAACCTCTGTACATCTGCTTAAAACTTTCGGAAATTCTGCAAACGAGGAAGTTTGTGGGACTCAGAGAATGATAATTTATTTATTTATTTATTTTTAAAGATTTTATTTATTTATTCATGAGAGACACAGAGAGGGAGAGAGAGAGAGAGAGAGAGGGGAAGAGATACAGGCAGAGAGAGAAGCAGGCCCCATGCTGGGAGCCCCACGTGGGACTCGATCCCGATCCGGGACTCCAGGAGTCTTTTGTCCAAAGACAAAAGTCTTCAGCCTTGGGCCAAAGGCAGGCGCTAAACCACTGAGCCACCTGGGCTGCCCAAGAATGATAATTTGATTTTGAATCCTTTCTGCTCCATTTATTATTAGTGTGCTAGGGGGAAAATTCTTGGTATCTCTGAGACTTAAGGTTGTCATCTAAGTTGATCCCTAGTTGATACAGCTCAACTGAATAAGGGTTAAACAAATAATGGATGCCTTCTATGCAACAAATATGTGATGAATGCACAAAATAAGGGCAAATTAAAATTTAGATGTTTTATTACTAATAATGGTAAAGGTTATGATTTCCCTACAGCCTTAACAGGATATTTCATTTTGTTTATACAAGTACATCTTTAGCATATGAAGAGAAACAACTGAGTCTCATCTATTTCTGAATCCTCAGAGCCTATGCCTTTTTGGCACAGAGGAAGCATCAAAAATTTAAAAATCTCAGTTAAGTACAGGATAGACCTTTCCATTGTTCACAGAAACAAAGAAGAAAGTATTTTCATAGTTATCAATGTTGTTTGATTATGTGCACTTAACTAAACCACATTTATCAAAATTTGAAGTCTGCAAAAGCCAAGGATAGGAATTATATGCTAAATGACTTTTAAAAGACAACCATTAGAAATGACAAATACTCACCATTTGCTTCGATGTGGATGGACCTGGAGGGTATTATGCTGAGTGAAATATGTCAATCAGAAAAGGACAAACATTATATGGTCTCATTCATTTGGGGAATATAAAAATTAGTGAAAGGGAATAAAGGAAAAGGAGAGAAAATGAGTGAAAATATCAGTGAGGGTGACAAAACATGAGAGACGCCTAACTCTGGGAAATAAACAAGGGGTAGTGGAAGGAAAGGTGGACGGGGCGGGGGTTTGGGGTGACTGGGTAATGGGCACCGAGGGAGACAGTTGATGGGATGAGCACTGGCTGTTATGCTATATGTTGGAAAATTGAACTCCAAAAAAAAAAAAAAAAAAAGACAACCAACATTGGTCATCACTTATTTCCATGAAGGAGAAAAGAAAGAAAATCAAAGAATGATGAAACCCATGAAGATAACTAACACAAAAAATATTTTCTGATTATGAATCTTTAATTCTAATTTAGAATCCAGACTACACACTCCTGCCTTTCATGGAGTGTTTATAAATATTCTAAATGAAAAGAATATCTAGCATTTCATTTGAATAAAATATTTTTAACTGCTTCATAATTTCTTTAAATTAGAATGATTTTTTTTCTTAAAAGAGGAAGGATATTTCTTACTCTATGATTTCTCTTCAAGAAGGAGGCTGTGTTTACTGTGATCATGGATTTGTTATCTCTTATGTTCTTGGTTCTGATACTCTTTGGTAGAGTTTCTCTAAGGTAAATGTCTATAGAAAGAGGTAAATAATGCAGAAACCAACGAAGAAACGAGTTCTAAGAAAAAGGATGTGTCACACTGAGAAGTATTGCTGAAGGCTAGGGTGTATGACTGCAAGTGTGACTGTTTTATTTGTGATTGCTTGAATGTGCAATATGGACACAGTGCTGGATGCTCATTTACTTGTTTCATTTTTCTAACCCCTTTTTCTTTTTTAAAAGGTGTCTAGGCTACAAAGAACAAAACCTAACAAGCGTCTCAGAATTCTTCCTCAGCAGATTCTCAGATGATCTAGAGCTGCAGCCTCTCCTCTTTGGACTGTTCCTGTCCATGTACCTGGTCACTGTGCTTGGGAATCTGCTCATCATCCTGACTGTCAGCTCTGACTCCCACCTCCACACCCCCATGTACTTCTTCCTCTCCAACCTGTCCTTGGCTGACATCGGTTTCACCTCCACCACAGTCCCCAAGATGATCATGGACATCCAAACTCAGAGCCGAGTCATCTCCTATGTGGGTTGCCTGACTCAAATGTCTTTTTTGATCCTTTTTGGATGTATGGATGGTATGCTTCTGACTGTAATGGCATATGACCGGTTTGTGGCCATCTGTCACCCTCTACACTACTCAATCATCATGAACCCCCGCCTCTGTGGCTTGTTGGTTTTGGTGTCTTTTTTGGTTAGCCTTTTGGATTCCCAGCTGCACAGTTTGATTGTGTTACAACTTACCTGCTTCAAGGATGTGGAAATTTCTAATTTTTTCTGTGATCCTTCTCAACTCCTCAACCTTGCCTGTTCTGACACTTTCACCAATAACATAATCATGTATTTTGTTGGTGCCATCTCTGGCTTTCTTCCTATTTCAGGGATCTTTTTCTCTTACTATAAAATTGTTTCGTCCATTCTGAGAGTCCCATCCACAGGTGGGAGATACAAAGCCTTCTCTACCTGTGGCTCCCACCTGTCAGTTGTTTGCTTATTTTATGGAACTGCTATTGGAGTGTACCTTGGATCAGCATTGTTGCCTTCCCCCAGGAAGGATATAGTAGCCTCGGTGATGTACACTGTGGTCACTCCCATGCTGAATCCCTTCATTTACAGCCTGAGAAACAGGGACATTAAGAGTGACCTATGGAGGTTCCTCAGAAGAACAGGCTAATCTCAGTATGTGTGCAATCCTTTTTGAAGGGTGAGGTGAAAAAAAAAACTGGCAAAATCAAATGTGTAGACCAGCAAATACTGCTTTCTTGGTCACATAATTTTTTCAGTCTCATGATTTTCATTCCTCTTCATGTTTCATATATGAATGTTAGTTTTTTTTTGAGTGTTAGTTTTTTTATTTGTTTTTAATTGGATTAGGGAAGTATTCTAGGATGCTTTGTACATCATAATGAATGCATGAGAGGTTCTCCTTAATGACCTTGGTATCTTGATGAAATGTAGAATTCTCTCTTTTTAAAAAGATTTATTTATTTATTTGAGAAGGGGAAGAGGGGCACAGGGAGAAAGAGGGAGAGACTTAAGCAGACTTCACACTGAGCATGGGGCCCAATGAGGGGCTCAGTCCCATGAACTCTCAGCTGAAACCAAGAGTTGAATGCTTAACCAACTGAGCCACCCAGGTGGCTTTACAACTGTTTCTTCATATACTTAAAATGTATATACTTTCCATGGTTTCTGTGTATTTTCTATGCAAATTTTGCATCTATCAAAACTATTTATTCAGGTAATGTCCAAGGGTGCCATTCACTGCTCCTCAACCATGGATTTTATTAGAACCCTCTGAGGAGTCTTATAAATAATGGTAACTGAGTCTCATTACCAGAGACTCTGATTTAGTTGGATAGGTATGTGATCACTTAGTTGCAAGTTCCTAAAGAGATCAAGCTTGAAAGGGTAAGTTATGAAAAAATTTATTGTAGTTCCAGACAAAGGTCTTTTTTTTTCAAATGTTTTATTCAAATCCATTGTCCTTTAGTACTATAAGCTTTTTCATTTGTGTTGGTTAAGTGTCTCTGCTCCAGACTCACCCTTCTATATTTATCTTGTAATGCTAGGGTGAGTCTCTTGAAATCACTGCTTTATTTTCCCTCTGGCTTTTCTTGTCATATATATATATATATATAATATATATATATATATGTTTCAAGCATAGAATTTAGTGATTCACTACTTACATACTTACATACAACATTCCATGCTCATCACAAGTGCCCTTCTTAATAACTATCACTCATTTAACACATTCCTCTGCCCACTTCCCCTCTAGCAACCCTGTTTGTTCTCTATAGTTAAAAGTTGATACATATTTTTAATAATGGTCAGCAAATGTCATTATACTCTAAAATTAAGTAAAGTTCATTACTCTCTCTAAACCCCTAAGTCCTTGGTATTTATTGGCTTCCATTTGTCATCATATTGTTCTATTTTTTGCTTTGTCCTGCAGTAGGTATTTAACCAACTATCTACACTCAATTCTCTTTATTAAACTAATTAGCTTGATTTATTTTTTCTATTTATTTATTTGAGAGAGAGAACATGAGAAGGGGGAAGGGGCAAAGGGAAAGGGAGAGAATTTTAAGCAGACTCCACACTGAGCATGGAGCCCAATGGGGGGCTCAATCCCATGACCTGAGATTATGACCCGAGTTGAAAACAAGAATCAGACATTTAATGGACTGAGCCACCCAGGTGCCTCTGATTTCTTTCTTTCTTTCTTTCTTTCTTTCTTCTTCTTTCTTTCTTTCTTTTTCTTTTCTTTCTTCTTTCTTTCTTTCTTTCTTTCTTTCTTTCTTTTAATAAACTCTGAATGTTAAATTAACATGACGAGAAAGGTGTGTTATGAGTTGTGTGAGTTGGAATATTGCAAAATGAGCTCATAAAATAAAGGTGGTTTTAAATATATATCTTTGTTAGGAGTGTACAACTGAGATCTAGGTACTGATAGCATATTTCCAGTAGATGGGTGGCTCTAACGGTATCTGAGGATTATTAAGTCATGAATTTCATCACAAATAGATTGTAATTTGGGCAGCCTGGGTGGCTCAGCAGTTTAGTGCCACTTCAGCCCAGGGCCTGATCCTGGAGACCTGGGATCGAGTCCCACGTTGGGCTCCCTGCATGGAGCCTGCTTCTCCCTCTGCCTGTGTCTCTGTCTCTCTCTCTCTCCCTGTGTCTCTCATGAATAAATAAATAAAATCTTTAAAAATATAAAATAAATAGATTGTGTTTTACCCTTCTTTAAAAAAAAAAATCCTCAGCAGCAAAAGTTTGTGTCATCAGCAAAGGTGGGCTCTTTTCTTCCTCTAGTAACGGCCTGTTTAGGACTTCACTTTGTTCCATGCTTCTTTGTCTTCTGTCATTGATAAATCAGTCTTTGGGGTCCATTTGGTTCTTCAAAATGAGTATCCATCTTTCTTTAGAAGTATCATACGTAGTTTTTTGGTAGTAATCTTGGTTCTCTGAAAACCTGTCCAACAACTAGTTTAGTTTACCCTGCCTTTTATCTCTGAGGTAGATCACCTACCAACTACATTGATAAGGAACATTGATATTAGAGAAAGGCATGAAATGGACAGATAATGAAGCCAAAGCAGTTAGTGGGAAGTTACCATCCAATAAAAATTACTACATTTATATATTTTCATATCCATTATTGCAAAGCTGAATAATAGCCAAAGAACCTAGTTGAGTGGGAAAGTAGTATTGCCATTTGTGGTCAAATGGTAGACTCTGATTGCAGTCTTGTTAGACACTTTTGTTTATTTAAGAGAAGTAGCAAGATATAAATAAGCATATAAAAATTAATAATATTCTAATGTTCACACATCAATGAAAGAAAAACTAGGACTTGGGCTGTCATTTAAATAAGGGAAAAAACTTAAAAGAATTTCCTCTTAGAGACATAAGTCTTAACTCAGAAGACGATAACAATTTATGATTCTTGTTATAGAAGACTGAATTCTCCCTAATGTATGTGATTGACATAATGGATTTGCAGATGCCAAAGTCAAAAAGTCATAAATTAAATTGAAAAAAAAAAAGAGTCTGTACTTTATATTAAGATCCTCAAGACTGGGAGTCATTAGCAAAGTGTACAGATGAGCTTTCTTCTAAGAAGAGGAATGCCCAGACTCTTCTTTTTTTTTAAAGATTTTTTAAAAAAATATTTATTCATGAGAGATACAGAGAGAAAGAGGCAGAGACATAGGCAGAGGGAGAAGCAGGCTCCCTGCAGGGAACCCAATGCAGAACTCAATCTCAGGACCCCAGGATCATGTCCTGAGCCAAAGGCAGATGCTCAAATGCTGAGCCACCCAGGTACCCCTGCCCAGACCCTTCTAAATGCATTCACTTTTCTCTTTTTCTTCTTCTCTTATTAGGAAATCCTCAGAGATTGGGATAATATGGACCAATTTTGTTAATTATGAGCTCTGTGCATTGAGCTCTCAAGGTCATGCAGGAATAAATAATTAGACAGTGCCTTCAGCCCTTCTGGGTGCCAGGACTGTTAGGCCACATACTATCTCCCAGAGTCATCATCTGCACAACAGGATTCATGCCTGAGTCTGTCTTCTTACCAGTCCTGAAGAAAAAGCCTCAACCATCATCATTCACCAAGCAGGAAAGAAGAGGGGATCCAAACTCCTAGTCATGACCCAGCAGAGGTATACACAGATCACTGAGTGCCCAGGGAGATGGTGGATGGAAGATGGCCTGCTGGGAACTGCTTTCTTACCAGCTAGATGAGGTGGGGCTGGCCAGATGGAAAGGCAGCAATATGCAAAGTTTCAGCTCAGAGACCTATGAAGTTTGTGTTCTTTTTCGTGTTGGGGGTTTCATAGTTCTCATTCAGAATTCTGTTCTCCTCCAACATCATTTCTAGCTTCCATATGCATCACTCACATGAGCGCAGGACATTAAAGTTAATTAAGAACCTATGTTGAAAGGATGTAAAAGCTAATTAGCACATTTCTATTTTTTGTTCTATAAATTCTTTTAATACATTTCAGACTTCCAGTTGGGTCAGTTGCCTTTCTTTTTTTTCTTCATTTTTTGTCACTGGATCTATTTCAAGGGAGGTCCTCTCTATCCTGCTCATATTTGTACATTTCTTTCTCCAGAGAGCTTCAACTAGTGTCTTCAGGGTAAGAGACCTCCTCCATGATGATGATTGTTTCATAGGGTTAATATACCCTGTGCTTAAATCAGGCTTGAATTAACCCCTTTACTGTGCTACAGGGTGGGGGTGGGGAGCTATGGATGTTTCTCTCTATAACCCTGATGATTTGGATCTTTGTTGCAACAAAGATGTGGACAACAGGAGCAGCAGATGTATTGAAAGGTCCTAGCCTAGTTTTAGGGGTATAGACCTCGGCAAGACACATGATGACTGCTTTTCTTCTTCTTCTTCCCTCCCTATTTCTCAGTCTCTGTCTCCTTCTTTCTCCCCTCCAATGACATTCCTTCATGAGCAACCACCCAATGGACCTAGATCTTGTACTGGGTATATTCTTTCCCCTAAGCACCCTTAGAGGTCAATGTCTGTTTGAAACACACAATCAGTCAGGGTAAGAGCATTTCCTTAACCTTAGTGTCTTATTATCTAAGTATGTCTTAATTTTGGTTATTAATTGATTGATATATTTGGCAGCTCCCACATTCAGGCATATATATTGATGATTGTTAAGTCCTCTTGTTGGGTAGATCCTTTAAGTATGATATAGAGTCCCTCTTCATCTCTCACTACAGTCTTCAGGGTAAATTTTAGTTTATCTGATATAAGGATGGCTACCCCTGCTTTCTTTTGAGGACCGTTTGAATGGTAAATGGTTCTCCAACCTTTTATTTTCAGGTTGTAGGTGTCCTTTTGTCTAAAATGAGTCTCTTGTAGACAGCAAATAGATGGGTCCTGCTTTTTTTATCCCAGTCTGACACCCTGCGCCTTTTGATGGGGTCATTAAGCCCATTCACGTTCAGAGTTACTATTGAAAGATATGAGTTTAGTGACTGGGGGTTGTATGCAATTGATGAATAACTGAATTCTACCTCTGAAACTAATAATACCCTGTATGTTAATCGCATTTAAATAAAAATTTTAAGTTTAAAGATAAAAAAAAACAAACAAAAAACCCCTAGTGTCAGTCACAGCTTCGTTCAAAGACAGGTCTGAACCAAGACACAAGACCCAGGGCCACATTAAGAAAAGACCCAATCCCATTCTTTTGTCTCTAACAGCCAAGTAATTATTGAAACTTCCAAATTAAGTCATTTAGATCTATAAGAAAGGATCGGAAGGGCTTAAGAAATGCATCACAGTGCAGTGCTATCCAGAGTGCATACTTCATGCTTGCCAGTAGGCAGCAGGGACAGTGAGCAAGCCAGAGCAAGAGAAGAAAGACCTTGTGTGGTGATGGTCATTGTCTCATGCCCCACTCATTGAACCAAATAAGACACTGAAGAAATAGGATGGACATCTATTCAAAATTTGGCTTGGATGTTGAGGCTGGGAATGCCACACATATAAGAAGATATAAAAAGTTTTATTCCTCATATGAAGATCTCCCTTGTAGAGAGAGCATAACTGGCCTTCTAAACTAGTCTGAAATGGCACAAGAGTTCAAGGAATGTGGCTCACTTGGGTTTTTTATTGTGTCTACAGTGTGAGTTTAACGTGAGAGTTCCTGCATATGTGCTTGTGAGGTTTGAATGTTTCACTGTCACCAAAGGAGGGAGAACCTAGGCTTGCTTGCTTCCTTGATTTTTTAAAATTGAAATATAATTGATGTATAACATTATATTAGTTGCAGGTATACAACATAATGATTCAAAATTTAGGCATATTGCAAAATGATCATAAGTCTAGCAAATATGCATCACTATACATAGTTACAAAATTTTTTTCTTATAATGAGAACTTTTTTTAATAATAAATTTATTTTTTATTGGTGTTCAATTTGCCAACATACAGAACTTTTAAGATCTATTCTTGGTAGCTTTCAAATATGAAACACAATATTAACTATGCTATACATCACATCCCCAGAACTAATTTACCTTATAACTGGAGGACCCAGGTTTTCTTTTTTTTTTTTTAAGACTTTATTTATTTATTCATGAGAGACACGCAGAGAGAAGCAGAAACACAGGCAGAGGAAAAAGCAGGCTCCCTGAAGGTAGCCAGATGTGGGACTCGATCCTGGGACCAGGGTCACGCCCGGAACCAAAGGCAGACGCTCAACTGCTGAGCCACCCAGGCACCCCAAGACCCAGGTTTTCTTATAAACTAGCCCAGATGTTGAGTTGATGGGGTAAAGAGAGCAGTATGTCTTAAACTCTGTTAGCAATAAAATATCACACACAAAAAATAGAGTCACTTTATTGCAAAATTCTTATAGGGTATTTGTAAATAGTCCAAGTCAAGGGAATTAATTTCTCTGCATTTGGATAAAATAAAGTACTTAAAAAAAGATTTTATTTATTTACTTGAGAAAGGGAGAGAGCATGAGGAGGAGGAGGGGCAGAAGAAGAGAGACAGAAGGAGAGGGAGAGGAGGAGGGAAAAGAAGGCACCCTCCCGCCCCAGTGGGGAGCCCGAGATAGGGCTTTATCCCAGGACTCTGAGACCTTAAACTGAGCCAAAGGCAGCCACTTAACAGACTGAGCCACCCAGTCCTCCCAAGATAAAATAAAGTACTTTTGACTTCTTATTAGTGTCTTTTAATTAGAATAATTTTTGAGGGAAAAGGATATTTCTTATTACTTTTGTTTCCCTTAAAGGAGGGAGCTGATTAGAGTGTTTATGGATTTTTAAATCTCCAAGTATCCTAGTCCCTCTAATTTCTTTCTCCCAGTCTCTCCAAAGTGGATGCACATAGAAACAGGTGAATGGACCAAAATATGAGAAAAGAGTTCTAGGAAGAATGTATTGCTACAACTGAGAAATTTTGCTAAATTTTCCTCAAATGTGAATACTTTATTTATGAATTGCTTGAATTCAAAATATAGACACACTGACAGATCCCAGTATACTTGTTTCCTTTATTTAAACTCTCATTTATTTCTCAAAAGCTGTCTCTGCTACACAGAACCCCAGAATCTAACAGATGTCCTGGAATTCTTCCTCCTGGGGTTCTCAGAAGATCCAGAACTGCAGCCTGTAATCTTTAGCCTGTTCCTGTCCATGTATCTGGTCACCATGCTGGGGAATCTACTGATCCTCCTTGCTGTCAGCTCTGACTCCTGCCTTCACACCCCCATGTACTTCTTCCTTTCCATCCTGTCCCTGGCTGACATCGGTTTCATTTCTACCACAGTCCCAAAGGTGATTTTGGACATTGAAACTCACAACAGAGTCATCTCCCATGTGGGCTGCCTGATTCAGTTGTCTTTTTTTAATCTTTTTGGATGTTTGGACAGTGTACTCTTAACTGTGATGGCCTATGATCGGTTTGTAGCCATTTGTTATCCTCTGCACTACCCAGTCATCATGAACCCCCGCCTCTGTAGCCTGCTCATTCTGATATCTTTTTTAATCAGCCTTCTGGACTCTCAGCTGCACTGCCTCATGATGTCACAACTTACCTTCTGCACAAATGTGGAAATTCCTCATTTCTTCTGTGACCCTCCTCAGCTCCTCAAGCTTTCCTGTAATGATACTTCCACCAGTAAAATATTCATGTATTTTCTTGGCGCCATCTTTGGTGGTATTCCAGTCTCAGGGATCCTTTTCTCTTATACACGAATTGTTTCCTCCATTCTGAGAGTCCCATCCACAGGTGGGAAGTACAAAGCCTTCTCCACCTGTGGCTCCCACCTGTCAGTTGTTAGCTTATTTTATGGAACAGGTCTTGGGGTGTACCTCAGTTCTACTATCTCACATTCTCCCAGAAAGGATGCAGTGGCCTCAGTAATGTATGCTGTCATTGTCCCCATGCTAAATCCCTTCATCTACAGTCTGAGGAACAAGGACATCAAGAGGGCTTTGCAGAGGCTCCTCAACAGAAAAGCTGAGTCTTAAAAAAAAAAAAAAAAAAAAAAAAAAAAAAAAAAAAAAAAAAAAAAACAACGAACAGCCCAGTCTTAATTCTTGGACTCTTTTTTTGGTCTGTTGATTAGAAATAATTGCAAAAACAAACATATGGAATTGGCAAGCATGCCCCTTTGGTCACATAATTTTTGTAGCTCATGGTTTCCATTCCTCTTGATTTGTCACATCTAAATATTACTTATTTTGGCACATCTTTGATGGAATTAGGGGAGTATTCTGGGACTCTATGTACGTCAAAATCACTGCACAATTGAATCTTATTAAACCTATGGAATCTTCTGTATTTGTCACCTATGACCCAGACATCCTGTAGAAATTCACAACTCTCTTTTAAAATGTGGAAGGAGGGGATCCCTGGGTGGCGCAGCGGTTTAGCGCCTGCCTTTGGCCCAGGGCGCGATCCTGGAGACCCGGGATCGAGTCCCACGTCGGGCTCCCGGTGCATGGGGCCTGCTTCTCCCTCTGCCTGTGTCTCTGCCTCTCTCTCTCGCTCTCTGTGTGACTATCATAAATAAATAAAAATAATAATAAAACGTGGAAGGAGCCTCGGTGTCCATTGAAGGATAAAGAAGATGTGGTTTATGTATACAATGGAATATTCCTCAGCCATTAGAAACGACAAATACCCACCATTTGCTTCGACGTGGATGGAACTGGAAGGTATTATGCTGAGTGAAAGAAGTCAATCGGAGAAGGACAAACATTATATGGTCTCATTCATTTGGGGAATATAAAACATAGTGACAGGGAGTAAAGGGGAAAGGAGAAAAAATGAGTATCAGAAAGGGAGACAGAACATGAGAGACTCCTAACTCTGGGAAACAAACTAGGGGTGGAGGAAGGGGAGGTGGGCAGAGGGGGGGGTGGGGGTGACTGGGTGACGGGCACTGAGGGGGGCACTTGATGGGATGAGCATTGGGTGTTATTTTTTTTGGGGGGTGTTATTCTATATGTTGGCAAATTGAACACCAATAAAAAATAAATTTACAAAAAAATTAAAAAAATAAAATGTATGCACAATTCTCACCCATTTTCATTGTCATGTCTATCTCCCATAAGATTTTGGCTTTGATCAAATCTATTGATGCAGGTTGTATGAGAGAGTGTATGTCACTGGTCCTCAACCTTGGCTTCATGTTTGAAGCGTCTGATACACTTTAAAAATCCTCATGCCTGAGTCCCACCACCACAGATTAAGATTCAATTGGACTTGAGAGTAAAAAGAACGTGAAGTTTTTTTACCAGCACTCCAGGTGGGTCTAATGAGCAGCTAAGGTGGAGGACTATTGAATTTTGTCAGACCTTTCATTCAAAGATAACTTGCATTTGTTGGGTCTTTTAGTGTTCAGTGTCAGACCCTGAACATCTCAAAGTGATCAGAGATCAAAAAGGAGGAGACATGAAAGAGTATTCCATAGCAGTAACAAATGTGGTTTTCCCCCTCATATTCTAGGTAATATTTTTTTTACATATCTTCTCCCTCCACACTCTACAGCTGGTTCACTGTGCTGAATAATAAGCTGTTGTTTTCTGCTCCAAACTTACCTTTCTATACTTTAAGTTGTGATGCTGTGGTTGGGGCTGGGAATCCTTAAACCATTGCTCTGATTTTCCACCTGGCTTTTCTTTAATAATGGTAATAAAGATCACATGCACTAATGTCCAATTTTTTTCCCCAACCTCTTAGCCCATGGTGTTGTCACTATATCCCGCAACTATGGCTCTGTTACCACATTTTTTCTTCTGTGCCTTTCACTTTTCAATAAGCATTTACTCCTACCTATACTAAAATTACCTTCATTAAATAAGTAGTGTGGTTTCTCTTTTCTTGACGGAATTCTGACTGATAAATCACAATATGGGGAATAAAGCTACGTTGTGAGATTCAATGGGGGAGATTGCAAAGTGAGCTCAGGTTAAAAAGGTGTTTGTAATGATATATCTTAGTCAAGGGGATACAGTTGACGTTTCAAGTAGTGGTGAAATTTCTGGTGGCTGTGTGGTTCTTTTGTGCCTGTAGATTGCTAAGTTACCTAAGTTATGGATAAATTTAACTCTATCTTCATTTTTATTACTCAAGGGTAGCAAAGGACCATGTCCTCAGCAAAGGGGAGATTTTTCTTTTACTAGTAACCATCTCATTAGGATTCCACTTTGTCACCATGGTTCCTTCTCTTCTATCATGATCAATCTGACTTTGGGTCCTTCTGTCTGCTGCTACACACCCAGGAACCCATATACATATCAATATTTCCTTTATAGATGCTACATATAATTTCTGAAGTAGCAATCTGTGCGTTTTGAAAAGCTGCCTAATAACTAGTTCAATTTGCTCTGCCTTTATACTAAGTCAAATGGCCTACCAGCTTCACTGACAATGAACCTCGTATTGGATTGGTTCTTTCTGCTCCAAAATGACTTTGGTTTATTTTTTTTAATTTTTAACGATTTTATTTATTTATTCATGAGAGACGAGAGAGAGGAGAGAGAGAGAGAGAGAGAGAGAGAGAGAGAGAGAGAGAGAGACATAGGCAGAGGGAGAAGCAGGCTCCATGCAGGGAGCCCAATGGGACTTAATCCTGGGACTCCAGGATCACACCCTGCACCAAAGGCAAGCACTAAACCACTAAGACACCCAGGTGTTCCGTGACTTCAGTTTAATACTAGATTTTCCTCCTGTTCAAGCATTCTAAAACATCTCAACACTCCCACCTCCTCTGATCCTTCTCTATACTCCTGTCATTTGGTCATTTGGGCTCTCTAAAATTTTCCTCTGTTATTTATGCCCACACACATAATTAACACAATTTCTTTCATACCCAATTTAATTGGGTAAATATTGAAATTTTCTTCATATCAATTAATGAGAAATCAAGCTCTGAGTTTGTCTTCCAGTCAAGCCTTGAGATGATTACATCTCTGACCCACATTTTGAATGTAGAGATCTCTGAGAACCCCTGAAGTATTTAAGCCAACTCTTAAGTCACCAGATAAATGTGTAAAACATGTAAATATAAATATGTAAAGTAAATATGTAAAAATAAATAATTGTCTAATATAATAACATTCATCACTAGACAGAAAAATTAGAACCTGGGCTGTCTTTCAAAACAGCAAAAAACATATGTCTCCAATGCATAAAATTCCAAAACCCAAACCAGGACTATAGAAAGAAAATTAGAAAGTTATCCTTAGAGACATAAATTTTAACTGAGAAAACAGAAATTCTATAAGATTCTTGGTATAAAAGACCTAATTCTCTCTAAATTACATGATTAAGTCAATGGCTGTACAGATATTAAAGTCATATGTTGCTTTCTGTAGTTGAAAAACAAATGTGTCTGAATTTTACAATGAGGTAGGTAACTTGGAAGTCAGAAGTGAGGAGTAGAGGTCACTTCTTCCTGAGAAGATGACAGGTCTAGATACCACCCCCTCTGGTACATTCACTTTTCTTTTTTTCCTTTTCCACTAGTAACAGCAAATCTTTGGGGACTGGGAGAATGCAGACCAATCTGGCTAATTATGTACCATAATTCGAGCCCTCAAGGCCAAGCAACGGTAAACAATCTGTGCTTTCCAGCCTTTTAGTTGCCAGTTCCAGTTCAGTGGTCTCCATACATGCGTCTCCTCTTCGCAGAGCTGTCTGCTCCAGGGGACACATACTTGCATTTGTCTTCCTGCCAGTCCTGGAAACAAAGCCTCTGTCCTCATCCAGCTCCAGGTAGGGGACAGGCAGCCTGATCTGTCTTCCTCAGTCCTGCTCCAGCAGAGACACAGTACATCCCACTGAGTAGCAAATATGTTGGGAGGGACTGGGAGAACTTTGTTTCCTCCTCCTCAAGACCACTGGGACAGTTGGGATAGCCAGAAAGGAGGGGACCAAAATGCAAAGAATCAGCTCACAGCCCTATAAAGACCTAATGTTGTTGGTTCTGGTGGGAATCCTAGAACTCTTATTTAGATTTCTACTTTTGTCCCATACTAGTTCTATTTCCCTTGGGCATATTCCCCCATCAGAGCAGGAAATGGGTTCTTCTTAACTGTCCCCTAAATCCTCCAAATGATCATGAAGGTGATGATGATGGTGATGATGGAAATATCAGCAACCACAAACTTTTACCTTGGGACTCCAAGTGCCAGACACATAAATTTTCTTTCTTTCTTTTTTTTTAAAGATTTATTTATTTATTTATTTATTTATTTATTTATTTATTTATTTATTTATTTATGATAGAGAGAGAGAGAGAGAGAGAAAGAGGCAGAGACACAGGAGGAGGGAGAAGCAGGCTCCATGCCGGGAGCCTGACGTGGGACTCGATCCCGCGACTCCAGGATCGCGCCCTGGGCCAAAGGCAGGCGCTAAACCGCTGAGCCACCCAGGGATCCCCAGATACATAAATTTTCTATGTAGCTTGCTACCTTTTATACACATTACCACCCCTGAAAGACAGCAACATGCATTATCATCATCTCACAGTTAAGGATAGGAGCACAATATTTTTTTCACCTGATTTTATTTTTTGTCTTCAACCCACCTTTTTTTAAAAAGGTGTTTTTAAAAAAGATTTTATTTATTTATTCATGAGAGACACAGAGAGAGGCCGAGACATAGGCAGATGGAGAAGCAGACTCCCTGCAGGGAGCCCGAAGCGGAACTCGATCCCAAGACCCCACGATCATGCCCTGAGCTGAAGGCAGATGCTCAGCCACTGAGCCACCCACGTGTCCCAGGCTAAAGCATTCTGATTCCTTTGTATATTTTGGATATTAACGCTTTATCAGATATGTCCTTTCCAGAAGGGGAGGTGGGTGGGAGGATAGGGTAATTGGGTGATGGGCAATGAGGAGGGCAATTAATGGGACGAGCACTGGGTGTAATACTATATGTTGGCAAATTGAATTTAAATTTTAAAAATGTAAAAAAAAAGATATGTCCTTTGCAACTATCTTCTCCCATTCCATAGGTTGCCTTTTAGTTTTGTTGATTGTTTCCTTTGCTGTGCAGAAGCTTTTTAAGTTTTATTAGGTCCTGGGGTAGACAGGGGATGAAATCAGGTTTGAATGCAGACAGTGAGACTGGTCACAGGGCACTTAGACAGTGTTCTCTCCTGCCTACCCAATTTGTACATCTCTTTCCTGTTACTCCAGCAAGAGACCTCCACTCGCTGTGCTCTTCTCTTTTGAGGGATTCATGGTAGAAGACACCAGAGAGCAGTCAATCACCTGCTGTGTCAACTATAGAAAAGATAGCCAAGATGAAGGTAGAGATCATAACGAATCAGCTCCCGACAATCCAGGGCAGCTCGCTTTACTGACCCTGCTCTCAGATTTTGCTTCATATTCCATTTCCTCCTCCATTCCTCACCCTTGATCTCTAAGGGAGATATAGTCAGGATGTTAGATTCCATTCTTAGTTAGGAAATAATAAACTGTTCAAAGATATATTTTAGCAGTTTTGGAAAAGACCTCTGGACTTCTGCTTAAACTCTATGAAGTACAAGAAAACAAAGCAAACAAGTTCAGTGCATGGACTTCAGAGACCCACTATTTAATTTTGAATCTTATCTGCTCTACTTTTTATCTGTATGAAACTGGGCAAGTTCATAATATCTTTAAGCCAGTTTATACAACTGCACTGAGTAAGGATTAATATAAGCACTAAACATGTGACTAAATATGTAAGGGATGCATATAATAAAGGCAAGGTAAATTTTAGGTATTGTTGTTATTGTTGTTATTATTGTCATTATCAAGCACCATGTATCCAATTAAAATATCCTGTGATCGGAAGGTTCGATTTTCCCTAGGTCCTGAGAGAACTTTTTTTTTTTTGTCCTTGTACAGGTAGGTACTGAGTATTTGGAGAGAAACAACTAAATCACATTTATTTCTGATTTCCCAGAGCTTACTTTGCTTGGCACAGAGTAGGCTATAAGAACAGCAGAGATTTCTGTTGAATATTGAATAGACCCTTCTTTGGTTCTCAGAAATAGAGCATAGACAGCATGGCTTCCATGTACTGGGTGGTCTTTTCCTTTTTTTTTATTATTTTTTTTATTATTATTTTTTATTTATTTATGATAGTCACAGAGAGAGAGAGAGAGAGAGAGAGAGAGAGAGAGAGAGAGAGGCAGAGACACAGGCAGAGGGAGAAGCAGGCTCCATGCACCGGGAGCCCAATGTGGGATTCGATCCCGGGTCTCCAGGATCACGCCCTGGGCCAAAGGCAGGCGCCAAACCGCTGCGCCACCCAGAGATCCCGGGTGCTTCTTTTCCTGCCAATGACGTTTCATAGATCTACATAAAAGATAAAACAGTGCTTGTGTGTGTCTATGACACAGATTTTCTAAGAGACTTATCATTTTCCACTTAATAGAATTTATGTTTAATTATTTAAAAATTACTGGAGATTGTCATAAAGATGAAAATTAAAAGAGAGAAAAATAGAAGAGAAGTAAATCTTATTGCATGCACTGATGCACATTTTTGGATTTCCAACTTTTTTTTTCTTTAGAGAAGGAGAGGTTAGGGAGATAGACTTCATCCCACAATTCTGAGATCATCACCTGAGCTGAAATTAAGAGTTGATTGCTTAACCAACCAAGCCACCCAGGAACCCCAATTTCCACCCATTATTGAATGGATTTCCTGGGACATGATAGGCTTCTACCGCTCTGATATATAACAAAATAAAGGTCATTAAACCTTTCTTAGGATTTCATCAATAAACCCACCATTCCAAAGAACAGTGCAAATTCTGATTTAAAAATCATGACTGAATATTTATCGGGTGCAAATCTCTTTTTGGTGCCAACATGTATCTTGAAATGGATGCTGTTATCCCCATTTCTAGGTGAGGGATACCAGCAGAGGGATTGAGACATACATTGACACATACTCCATATTTAGTCTGATCCCATTTAGTTCCATCCCAGGGTTCTGTGCACTCCACCAGTGTGGAATGATTGCTTCCTTTTCTTTTTTGAAGATTTTATTTATTTATTCATGAGACACAGAGAGACACTGAGAGAGAGAGAGGCAGAGACACAGGCAGAGGGAGAAGCAGGCTCTGTGCAGGGAGCCTGATGTAGGACTTGATCCCGGGCCTCCAGGGTCACACCCTGCGCTGAAGGCGACGCTAAACCACTGAGCCACAGGGGCAGCCTGATTGCTTCCTTTTCAAATATACTTTAGCCCCAGATAAGCAAACAGAAACAGGGCAACAAACTCCTTCTCTTGGGATTTTATGAGTTCATCTGTGAATTAGGGAAATGGGGTAAGTGGTTTACAGGGGTCTTTACTGATTGAATATTATAGATCATAGGATTTTCAATGGAGAGTAATGCATTTTACAGCCTATTTTGGAAATCTGTGATATGGAAATATTACTCCTGATATAAGATAGGAATTTTCACATGGATCTATCATGAAAAGACCATTGTAACACAGACTTCAGGCTTCATCAGACTTTCTGATTCTATACCCTGACAATAAAATCATGAAATTGATTTGGACTATGCTTTCTATTAGGAAAATAAATGTAGGTAATTTTTTTAAGACACACACACACACACAGAGAGAGAGAGAGAGAGAGAGAGAGAGAGAGAGAGAGGCAGAGACACAGGCAGAGGGAGAAGCAGGTTCCATGCAAGGATCCCGACATGGGACTCGATCCCAGGACTCCAGGGTCACGCCCTGGGCTGAAGGCAGGTGCTAAACCGCTGAGCCACCCGGGGTTGTCCAATGTAGGTAATTAATAGAAAATTATACATATATTGATTTTTGTAATTCTTTCATCTTTTATGCCTATATACTATAGAAATTCTCACTTGTGTAATATGGAGGTGGGCACAAGAATTTTATTAGGGAAATTGTAATGAGAAATTAAAAAGAAAACAAAGTTCATCTTTTGGATAATACTATGCCTCAAATAAAAAAGACTATGCTTCATTTGAAGTGCTGGAAATAGATGTATATTCTTCATAGAGACACTTAAAACACATTACTGTGGTAAATGAGAACTCAGGACACAATACATGTATTATTACAGTATTATGTAAATTTTAAAGAAAACTATTTATGAAATATAAACCAATACTATTATTATGGAAAATATGCCTACCACATCCATGACAGTGTTTGCCTTTGGGCAACTGAAGTGTAGGGGAATGGGATCATGAAAGGAAAGCAAGAAAATCCAAATTTTACTGGTAACAAATATGAGTTCTGAAGCAAATATAACTACGTTTATCTATGTTTAAATATGTATATGTTTCTGTAGCATTCTTGGTTCAATGTCTTCATAGTGGGTATGTATAGAAACAGGTGAATAGCCCAGACACCAATAGGGAAAGCGTTCTAAAAAGAGTTTATAATTGAGAAATGTTGCTGAAGGTAATGGGATGTATGCTCCTCAAGTGTGAATACTTTACTTGTGAACTGCTTGCCTCAAAATATGCACACTTAGCCAAGGGTCTCCACATTTGTTTTGTTTATTCAATACCCTCTTCTTTTTCGAGAGGTGGCTCACCTGCATGGAACCACAGAATCTAACAAGTGTTTCAGAATTCCTCCTCCTGGGCCTTTCAGATGATCCAGAACTGCAGCCCCTCCTCTTTGGGCTGTTCCTGACCATGTACCTGGTCACTGTGCTTGGGAACCTGCTCATCATCTTGGCCGTCAGCTCTGACTCCCACCTCCACACCCCCATGTACTTCTTCCTTTCCAACCTGTCCTTGGCTGACATTGGTTTCAGCACCACTACAGTCCCTAAGATGCTGGTGAACATTCAAACACACAGCAAATCTATCACTTATGCAGGCTGCCTAACTCAGATGTCCTTTTATTTTCTATTTGGGTGTTTGGACAATCTACTCCTGGCTGTGATGGCCTATGACCGGTTTGTGGCCATTTGTCACCCCCTGAACTACCCAATTATCATGAACCCACGCCTCTGTGGCTTGTTGATCCTGGTGTCCTTTTTCAGCAGCCTTTTGGAATCTCAGATTCACTGTTTGATGGTGTCACAACTTACCTTCTGCACAGATGTGGAAATTCATCATTTCTTTTGTGATGCACCTCAACTTCTCCACCTTGCCTGCTCTTATACCTCCATCAACACCATACTAATCTATTTTATTGGTGCCATTTTTGGTGGCATTCCACTTTCAGGGATCCTTTGTTCTTATACTAGAATTGCTTCCTCCATTCTGAGAGTCCCAACTACAGGTGGGAAGTACAAAGCCTTCTCCACCTGTGGCTCCCACCTGTCAGTTGTTTGCTTATTTTATGGAACAGGCCTTGGAGTGTACCTCGGTTCATCCATCTCCCCCTCCCCCGGGAAGGATGCAGTGGCCTCAGTAGTGTACACTGTGGTCATTCCCATGCTGAACCCCTTCATCTATAGCCTGAGGAACAGGGACATCAAGAGGGCACTGTGGGGGATTATAAGCATAACAGCTTAATCTCAGCATATATCTTATTCTTTTTGGTTCATAGAACTGGAAAATACAGCAAATCAAAGGTGCACAACAAGAAATTCTGAATCTGCAGCCACATGGTATATGTACATTTATGGATCTCTGCTTTACACTTACACAATTTTTCCTGTTAGCATAGTTCTAATGGAATTGGGAGATTATTTTGGATTCTCCACTTAAATCATAGCCCCTGCAGGATTATGCATATATCCATATACCCCTCTTAGTTTCTTTATGCATTGCCCAGGACTCTTGGTCATGAGCAGTCTTGTTTCTATCTTTGCAAAATAATCACAGCTCTCTGTTTCTTGTTATTTTCCTATAATCTCCCCTCCCCTATTTGTTAGGAGGATCTAAATCCTACATTATCACTGGCCATCAGGGAAATACAAATCAAAACCACAATGAGATACCACCTCACACCAGTGAGAATGGGGAAAATTAACAAGACAGGAAACAACACATGTTGGAGAGGATGTGGAGAAAGGGGAACCCTCTTGCACTGTTGGTGGGAATGTGAACTAGTGCAGCCACTCTGGAAAACTGTGTGGAGGTTCCTCAAAGAGTTAAAAATAGACCTGCCCTATGACCCAGCAATTGCACTGCTGGGGATTTACCCCAAAGATACAGATGCAATGAAACGCCGGGACACCTGCATCCCGATGTTTCTAGCAGCAATGTCCACAATAGCCAAACTGTGGAAGAAGCCTCGGTGTCCATTGAAAGATGAATGGATAAAGAAGATGTGGTTTATGTACACAATGGAATAGTCCTCAGCCATTAGAAACGACAAATACCCACCATTTGCTTCGACATGGATGGAACTGGAGGTTATTATGCTGAGTGAAATAAGTCAATCGGAGAAGGGCAAACATTATATGGTCTCATTCAT